GCGCGCGCGGCGCTGCGACTGTGACTCTGCGACTGTGACCGCGGCCCGCGTTTCGCCTTAAAACGCGTACCGCCCCGCCCCTCAATCAGTATGTGAACAGGCCTCTTAAAATGCTTTCTCGGTGCAGCCGCAATCTTATTTCCAAGGGGAATATAAAACACGTGTGAGTCTTCTTACTGTAGCCTCGCACAAGGAAGATATTATTGCTGAATTCAGTTGGGTTTACGCCGCTAAAATGATTAGTGCGGGAAGGAGGTAGAAGATTGTTTTCTTAGTCCTAAAACTGAGCTAATGGGAACACCCTTCCCAAGGTCAACAGCCCTTGTGTTCACCCCCTGTGCTCGCCGTCGCCATCGCCACAATGGCCCCACACCTCTCTCCACAGTCGTAACTCCCTTCCCTGGCAGAGCACCCTCCTGTGAGGCTTGTAATCGAGCTTCCCTACCGGCCCGCCTTTCCTCACATGATTCCCTCTGCCTTTACTTCTGTGGGCGAAAAGGAAATGCGTCAGTTTATTACTCTGCTTATCTTCGCCCCGCCCCCGTGGCCCAATAATCCTATTATCTTGCCCTTGGCTTTTACCCTCTTCCATCTCCCTCCTTCATCATCTTAAGGAATATTTACAAACTTGCATCTCAGCCATACTAAAAACAAGCAAAACGTAAACCTCGAAACTCTCAAATTTTTAAATCCGTTTACATTTCTTTGCCAAAAGCTCCACATGATTTTTTTGCACTTATATTTGTCATTTTAACATTTGTATCCAATCCCAGTTTCCTTGGTCAAAACCCGTTGTCCCGGAATTACTGACATTGGTCTTACAGCCTCTGTTAGGAAGCTGTTCACCTACGTACTTAGCATCTTCCTTGGGCTTTCTTGTTTGCCCTTGCTCATTCAGTCATCCCACAACATATGAAGATCTCTTTGATAAGCATGTGGTGGACTTGACCCCGTCCTGCCATGGAGGAGCATACTCTAGACCAGTGGTTCTCAGCCTTGGCTGCACATTAGAATCACCTGGGAATCTTTTTAAAATCCTGATTTCTGGGCCTCATTCTCCAGAAATTCTGTATCTTTGTTACTAATGTTGTGGCCCCACCCCATAACAAAGAAACAGAATTTCCGGAGGATGAGGCCCAGAAATCAGGATTTTAAAAAGATTCCCAGGTGATTCTAATGTGCAGCCAAGGCTGAGAACCACTGGTCTAGAGTATAAATGTGCAGGTGATTATAATGTGCAGCCAAGGTTGAGAACCACTGCTCTAGATGGAGAGCCTAATGAATCAATAGGTAGTGTGCACACTAGGCTGTTGATTAGGTGCAGTGATAATAAGCACTGGTGGTGATGGCTTTCTGTAACATTACACTATGGTGTTCTCTTACTTGGCTGGTTACTCCTTATTGGCTAATGGTTTTGTTTCCTAACCATACGTTTCTCAAGGTTTAAAAAGGATGGTAATGGGAGAAAGTGGGTTTTATAAGAGCCAACTCTATGCAAGCAAGTAGACTAGCTTTTTCCCAGTGGACTCTTCAAACAGCTAAATTACCACACACCACACAGAACTGAATTGTTAGAACTACATCTTAAGGGAAATGTTGATAAACCAGGGAGCTTCCATAAGAGGGAGATTAGTATAGTAAGGTCAGAAAACCAGGTCATAGGAAAAATGAGAGACTAGTAATAGCTGCCTTTTATTGAGTACTATGTGCAAGGCAGTGCGCTAAGGGCTTTTATTCAGTGTTTACTGAGATGTTCATTGAGAACTTAATGCTGTGCCTGTTACTACCTGTGCTAGGCACTTAGAATAAAGTTACGAACAAGATAGATAAGGTCTCTGCCTTTATGGAGCTTTATATATGTCATTTAATTCTTACAACAGCCCATAAGAGAGGTATTATACTTTTTTTCCTTTTTGCTGAGAAACAGGCACAAAGAGATGAAGTAAACTTTCCAAGGTTATACAGCTAGTAAATGATAGAACCGTAAGCCTTTCAACCTGTTTCTCATTTGACCCATGCAACCCAAATATGATTTGAGTAACTATTTTCTCAGTTCTCCCAAGGATAGTATATAACATACTCTTCTAGATATCTAAAAAGATGTTAATTTATAATATATGATAAATACCTTAAGCTGGGCATTATGATAACCCATGGTTGACAAAGGAATCCCAAAACTATAAGTGGAGAGTTTTAGACTGGGAAATGATAATAAAATTAAGGCTAAAGATAAAAGATTTTCATAAAACTTAGAGATAAATTAGGAAAATACCACATCATAAGGTAATGAATTAACTGTCGAAAGTTCAGACAAAGGCTAAATCCAGTCAAGTGTAAATAGGACTAGCTGACTTCAGTTCTTTCCCCTTTAACCTATAATTCTATACTCTAACAAATGAATAATTAAAATTAGAAGTGGAGAATTAGGGGGAAAGATAAAAATGAGTTATAATATGTAGGATGACCATATTTACTGTGCAAACTAGGACCTTTGAGAGTGGAAGTGCTATCACTTGAGCTGGGGCAACAGGCATATCAGGATTACCCCAGATATATTCGGTGGGTGATAAAACCCAAGGAGAAGATACAGCATTAGATATGCCTTTGAAGCATATTCTTCAGCTTCAGGGAAAGGGGGCTGAGATTTGTGAATGAAGGAACAAAGTCTGGCAAAAAAGTGCATGAGGAAGGGAGGACCCAGCGGGAGTGACTTCATTTCTATCCTGGCATCAAGAGTAGAGCTTTGATTGATAGTGTACATGTGCAAGGAAAAAAATAGAGTGTGAGAAAAGAAAATTAATGTGGCTCAATTGGTAGAAGAGTCATCCTGTACACCAAAAGGTCTTGGGTTCCATTCCTGGTCAGAACGCATACCTAAGTTTCAGTTTGCTCCCCAGTCCTGGTTGGGGCAAGTTTAGGAGGCAAGCCATCACTGTTTCTTTTTCTCCTTGTTCTTTTTTTGTTAATCCTCACCCAAGGATATTTTTTTTCCGTTGATTTTTTTTTTTTTTTTAGGGAAAGGGGAAGAGAGAAGGAAAGACAGAGAAACATCGATGTGAGAGAAACACATCTATTGGTTGCCTCCCGCATGAGCCCCAACCAGACACCGGGCTGGGGAGGTGCCTGCAACCAAGGTAAGTGCCCTTGATTGGAATCAAACCTGGGACCCTTTGGTCCACAGGCCAACAAACTCTAGGGCTGTTCTTTTCTTTTTTTAAAGAATAGTTTACTGATTTTTAAAGTTTATTTTCAGAGAGAAAGGAAGGGAGAAGAGAGAAACATCCATGTGAGAGCATAGCATTCATCTGCTGCCTCCTGCACGCCTCATACTGGGGATCGAGCCTGCAACCCAGGCACTGGGTCCTGATCAGAATCAAACCAGCACCCTTTTGTTGCATGGGACAATGCCCATTCAACTGAGCCACACCAGCCAGGGCTCTCCTTGTTCTTAACATCTACACTAGTGTCTAAGTTAGAATGTATTTCTAGATTCACAATGAATGTATTGTGGAAGCAAGAACCAACATAAACCTCTTTCAATGAAATTACATGAAGCAGGGACAAGTTTCTCAAGAGCAGTATTTGTTATTAAGAATTTGTATACAAAGTGAATTCTTATTTAATGTCAGTGATTGAATATAATATAATGTCATTCTAAAACAGATGAATTTTCTAAGATTAATGCAAAAATAGTCCAAAAAATTAATTCTCCTGTAAGTTTTTTAAAACCATTGTAATTTCCTGTTTGTTTTTATTGCCCCTTAAGTGTTAGACCATACTAAGCAACTGACCAGCATGTGTTGAAGTGGAGTCCTATTAGAATATTACTTCCTGTACTCATCAGCACTAAAACTCTTAAAAAGAATGCCCATTGAGGGTAGAGAAAAAAAAGAGGCCAATGAAACTGTTTACCTAGGAAGGAAGGAAGGAGGAAGGGAGGGAGGAAGGGAAGGAA